TCTACCTATCTATCTATCTATCTATCTATCTATCTATCTCTATCTCTCTCTCTCCCTCTGTGTGTGTGTGTGTGTGTGTAAGTCGCAGTTTGGACGGTATTGAGCTTCATTTTTTTTCCTGCTGCATGCTGACGTGGCAGTGGGGCAGCTATCTGGACGCCAGGTGAACCCTTAGTTTTTTAGGATCCAGTTAAGTTATAAGTAGTGACGTGCGAGTAGACCTGTGTGCCATTCAGGCGCATGAGTTGTTGGGTAGTTCTTTCCCTTTTTGAGTCATCCGATTTGTGATCGTGATCATCATCACCGTCATCGTTATGAACTGCAAGGAAAAAAAAAAAGAAAAAAAAAAAATAGCGTCGTCTTTTACCCAAAAATAAAAGGGAAAAAGCATCATCATCATCTATTGTGGTAGCACTGGGATGAACATGTTGTTCCTCATTTCCTATTTCGGCAATGCACGTGGTAACGCCTCCTACCGCTCCTTCATCCTCCTCCTCCTCCTTATCCTCGTCCTCATCTTCCCTCTTCCTCCTCCCCCTCATCGACTCATCGACTCCTCTACATCCCCCTCTTTCACCTCTTAGTCCTCGACATCCGCTTCTTCACCTCCTCTTCCTCCACGTCCCCCCCTCTTCACCACCTCCTCCTCCTCCCTCTCCGGCTTCACCATCAGCGTTCTCCTCCCCCATCTTCTCCTAGGCTCAGTGGCGAGACCCTAAGTACAGGACGAACAAGAGAAGGGCCATTAATTTCTCTCTCTCTCTCTCGGCGTGCCCCTGTTCGCCTCCTCCTCGGCATCCCCTTTTTTTATCGGCCCCCTGTTCCTCGTCCTCGACATTCCCGTTTTCATCAGCCCCCTCCTCCGCCGCCGCCGCCGCCATCTCCTCCTCCGCCGCCGCCACCTCCCCCTCCTCCTCCCCCATCTACGTTCTCCTCTGCAATCTTCTCCTCGGACAATCGGCGGGCCCCCAACTTCATGGGGCACCACGTGCCCGACCCATCGTCCTCCTCCTCCTCCATATCCTCTGCCCCCTCTTCCCTCGACATCCTCCTGCTCACCTCCTCAGTAGCCGCACACTGTGAGAGAGAGAACACCTCCTGGCCCCGGGCAATTGACGTGTAGGTCTTTCTCTCGCAGGCCATTCTTCCAATTGCCAACACGCGGC